TTTTCTTTTCTCTTTTTCTTCCTTTTTTTTTTAACCAATTGTGCATGCATATGTCTGGTACTCTGAACAATTACTCTGAAGACAACATTATGTAATACAGCGAACACTGAATTCCTATTGTTTTGTTTGGTGAAGATCTGTATCATTTGTATTTTTCTTTTTTACTAATTTGGGGCTGGGGAGATGGCTCAGTGGAATAAGCGCTTCCCTGGCAAGCGCAAGAGCCTGAGTTCAATCCCCGGTTCTAAAAAAAGTTTTGTTTTTTTGCCTTTTTTTTTTTTTACTGATTTGTATTTATTTATTTATTATTTACTTTTGTATTTTAAGGAAGGGTCTACAGGGTGTTCAGGGTCTCACTACTAGATGAGATTCGTAGTGATCTGCCTGTTTACAGCCTCCCAAGAGGTGGGATTACAGACGTGTGCCCCCACGCCCAGTCTCAAATGCCCTCTCCACACAATCGCGATCCGGGGTTGAGGCCGGCACGGCAGACCCAGGATAAATAACTCTGGCCCCTGTGCCTGCTTGCAGGCACTTTAATCCGCTGAGGTATTTGGCTGGCCCAGTATTCTTTTTAGATAATTAAAAAATTAAACAGAATTTCCTCCAAATATAAATGTTTAAAAATCCTAAAAAAAAAAAAAAAAAAAGTATTACTTACACCATGGTCCTTTTGATAAAATCTCCACCAGAGAGTAGCTACTATATTTTGCTATGCACAGTGAAAATTGAAACCTGACAGCTGTCAGATGATTTGTTTTAGAGTTTGGGGAAAAAAGAGATTTATTTATTTATTTTTTTTGCAGAACCAGGCATTGAACTCAGGTCCTTGCACTTGCCAGGCAAGCGCTTGCTCTACTGAGCCATCTCCCTGGCCCCAGGAATCAAGATATATCATATATAGGTACAAACTCCCTGTGATGAAAATGATCGTCATGTATATCTACACTGTACCAATAAACATAATAAAAAAGAAGAGGAAACAAAACTAAAAAAGAAAGGAAGTACTCTATGAGTCTATCCCTATACCAAAAATAGCTAACACTATTACTTAACACTAAAGAACAATATTTCCTTAATCAACAATTTATGGCAGTGATTCTCAGCTGGGGCTCCTCTTTAATGTGCTGACCACCAGCACAAGGGGGCACTGTTTCACTGACCACCAGCTTTTTTTTTTTTTTTTTTTTTAACATTTTTAACAATTTGATCTTTAACAAAGGGACCAAAAACATACACTGGAGAAAGATATCCTCTTTAATTAATGGTGCTGGCTATCCAGCACATTTGGCTATCCACATGCAGAATATTGAAACTAGGCCCTTATTTCTCACAAAGTAGTAAACTGAAATAAAAAATAGATCAAGGAACTGAAGATCAAAAACAGAAACCCAAAAGAAACACCAGAAACATCTTGTAGGAAAATATAACAGGTATAATTCTTTTTTTATTCCATAATTTTATTGAAAGACAAATAGCAATGAGACAGTTTCAAATCAAAGTGGTATGATAGGTTCAATAATGAACACCTTGCATACTCTCTTCCTAGTGGCTATTTGCTGTACAAGATGCAGACATGATATCCTATTTACAAACACTATTACAACAAATCACTCTATTCATTAAGAGAATGTAACTATATATCTATCCTAACCACTTTGAATACACAGATACAAAATGGACATTCATCTGTATACCCTATTTTTGACCACCAGCTTTTGACTTGCTCCAAAAAAAGGCATCGGAGTGCATTTCCTACCTTGTGTGAGTTTCTGCTAAAATCACAGCCAGTTCAAGGATATATCTATATCTATATCTATATCTATATCTATATCTATATCGATCTATATTATTCACAAAGAGTCAAATATGATGCTGCAGATTCAAATATGCCAAGTAGACAGTGCAACACTAAAAGAACCTCAGTCACTCAATTAGAATATCTTAGACATTAAATTTAGATTTTTCATAAGAAAATTCAAAACTAAAATCTTGTGTTAATAAAAGATGATCATATTACAATTCACAGCCAGGCCAAGCATATAGGGCAGTACACTGACCAGCCATGCAAAAGCTTGGGATGAATCGAGACCAATGCATTGCACCTTGTGACACCATGGCCTGGTACCACTACTCCTTTTTGAGCATGCACATGGTCCCTAAGTGTGCTGTTACCCAACGCTTGGCTGCTGGGCCCATGCTGGGGTGACATGGCTTGCGTGATGACAGAGAGGTGTGCATGCCTGCTGCAGCACGGGCACTGTATGTTTTTCACCTATGCTATCAGGGCTGTTTGAGCAAAAGCATGACATCCAAAACAAGAACGAGAAGACCCCATTCTAGGCTGTGCTGAGCTAACTGTATCATGAGTACTATTCCCAATTCTGGGCAAAACATTTAAATTTTTTTTTTTATGTACTTGGCATAGGATCTCACTATGTAGCTCAGATTTATAGTGAGCCTCCTGTTTCATCCTCCTCAGTGCTGGGATTATAGGCATGCGCCACCACGCCCTGTCTTGGTGGCCAGCTCAGCTCACATGGGCACAGAATGTGGAACTGGGGATTGAACCTGGGTCCTTGTGCTTGCTTAGGTAGGTGCTCAGACCACTGTGCTATTTCCGTGGCCCCTGGGCAATAAGTTTCATAGAAAATATATTAATAAATCAATGCTGGTCAAGACTCATGAGGACAGTCTTGAAAAACATGCTACACAACTGAGGAATAGCAGGAGGTATGCAAGAATATTTTCTATCCATCATAATAATCATTGCTATCTTAACACGTCTATCATTCCTAAAAATTCAAGCATAGAAATTTTCAAATGACTAGAAGAGAGGTGAGTCAGGAGGAGGAGGTTTCACTTCCATACTGTTACTTGAAGGTAGGGGCTTGGGTTTACTCACATCAATCTGGAAACTACTGCATAAGACTAAAAACAAATAAATAAATAAACTCTTCTAAGCTCAGTGTTCAGGCTACACAACCTCATCGTGCTGCCCCTTTTATTCCTCAGGCAAGGATGGAGGTAGGGAAGAGGATGTGGGTAGCTGGTCTTGAGAGAATAGTACCTTGAGGCCATTCATACTTCATTATTGATCATAAACTAAACAAGTATTATACCTTATAAGAGTTCTTGGGTTAGTGTCACTTAGTGTTTTTATTCCTTATTTCTTGGACTATTAACATATTGATATTAAAATAGTTCTTAAATATTTCTTAAAACCAAAGGACAGCTGGGAAGCAAGTTTTAGTACTAATCTATCTAGAGTTGGGGTATAGCTGAAAGAAATAACAAGGTGAATCAAATAGGAGACCCTGGATACAGCAAGCGGAATTGGAGATTGAACCTTCATGGTTTTCTGTATCATTTATGCTCACTTTGGTTGCAGCAAACCAAATGAAAAGTGCTTAATGGAAGTCTCAGTTACGTTTCCCTCATTGCTCAAAGAAAATGCCTGACACCCCAAATGAAGGAAGAAAGTTTTGTTTAGCTCACAGTTTGTGGAGGTTTCTGTCCGTAGTCAGCTGGCTCCGAGGCAGGGTGGCATGGCACAGTTCAAATTGGCAGAAGACAGCAAAGCAATAAGAGCCAGAGGGCAGAGCAAGCCTCTTTTTTTCCTTCATATTGTAAGTGAGCTCCTGCTCTACGGTGGGTGTAGCACTCACACCATCTGTGCACTCCTCTTGCAGAGGCTGAGGATGTTTACCAATAAGGCCACAGCTCCCTGCTGAGTTGCTTAAATTTTTCAAGTTGACACAATGTATCAATTCATACACTGACACACTGATACATCAATGTAGCAACAAGAACCAGGCATTTCTTGCTTTCTTAAATTCTGGAGGTAGGTTCTTGGTATAACAATGCTGTCAGAGAAACTGGGCCCCCCCATTCTATGGTATCTAATGGAATTCGGGCTTTGTTTGTAAGAAAGGGAGCTGGCATGGACAACCAATATAATGCTTTTCTTCTCTCTTTGATGTCACTTTAGGGATTTTGCCCAGTTTATACTTATTACTCCCTTCGAAATCAAAATTCCAAATCTATACCCATTTCTAAGTTTTCTTGAGGGCCAGATACATTACCTCCTGCCAACTGTATATCTGCACTTGGGTGTTTTGCAGTAGCTTGAATATGTGTCTAATATCATACACCTTGTACCTCATCCTAGAATGGAGAAGAATTTTTGTTTTCTCCAAAATATACTGTTTAAAATACTACTGACCATCCAGTCTTCAGTACTAGGAAACAGGATGATCTTGAACTACTTTTTCACATCCTCTTCTAATTTCTCTTGATTGTAACTTTTTTCCAATTCAGTATAGCTTGTATCCATGCTATTCCAATAGATCTGTTATTTGCTTTTAGGGTGATATATGAGTTTGTATAAATATATGAACATATATACAGGGTATTGATGTATGAATTCATGCTTAATGAGTTTTAACTGAACCTGGGACTATCATTCTCAATTCCATTTATGTACACTGGCAGTGAATAAAGGTGAGA